AAATGTGCATCTGTTGCATTAAAATTAATACCGTTAATGATATTACCTAACTTAATATTTTATTTGCGCCAAAAAATGTGTTGGGGTAAGTCCATGGATATTCTTTAATACAAATGACAAGGTCTAAAATGTTGGCTATTTTGATATAATTTGTTGATGTGCAGTAAAGGCAAAACGTTTGAATACTCAAGCAATAGTGCAAGACATTATTGGAAAAAATCAATACTGATATCTTACAATTTCAAAACAATAAAAACATTCATGAGAGGTCTGGTTAATGCATTTTCTTAATATATTTATCAAAAATGTGAAGAAAATGAATCTGTAGAATGCTAGGTTTATAGCGAAGTCTATAATGAAGCCAAATTGTAATCGTTATTTACGGAAATTTTTCCACTGTATATTAAAACTATGTTGAATGTACGCAATTTTACTCTTGGCTTGATAAGAGAATTGAAAATTCAACCATGCAAACATTATTCCAACGCAGCACTTACTAAAGAAGAACCCATGCAATCATATATGCAAACATTTAAGTCTTATATAAATTCCTATAGATCTTCTTTCACTCTACTTGATACCTAATTTTAAATAAATCTCTACAAATGAAGCTCCACTGCAAAATACTACACGAAACCTATAATATTTAAATAACTAACATCTATCTGCAATCGATACAAGGATCCAAACTTCTTGTCGATCTACACAAACTAAGATACTATTTAAATACGATTGTACCAGAGGATTGTAACTATCCATCATGGTATGTTTCAAGGCATATCATCATTTTAGTTGCATGGCGCTTGAATCTAAACATTGGAAGGCCACACCAATTATCAAGTTTAACCAATTATAAACAGTAAACGAGGAGTTATGAATAGTTCCACTTTTTGGCATATTGAAATCTTAATTCAAAAAGTATCATACATCTACAACATAACATCATTCAGATGTGCATTAGAATGTTGGCGCCTGTTAAAACGTATAAACGCGCTGCATTTGTTTGCACCTGTCCTAAGTCAGTACCTGTTGTTCAGTTGTTGTCGTTTGTTGATGTGGTTCATAAGTGTTTCTCGTTTCTCGTTTTTTATATAGATTAGACCGTTAGTTTTCCTGTTTGAATTGTTTTTCACTAGTCATTTTGGGGCCCTTTATAGCTTGCTGTTCGGTGTGAGCCAAGGCTCCGTTTTGAAGGCCGTACTTTGACCTATAATTGTTTACTTTTTACACATTGTGACTCGGATGGAGAGTTGTCTCATTGGCACTCATACCACATCTTCTTATTTCTATATAAGACACTTGTCTTTAGAACTTCATTATTATTATTATTGAATTTTGTCTTACACATTAGCATTAAGCATTCAAACTTCTTACATTTAGTGCAAAACGGCACAAACTGCCAAAATAGCCTAATTTTTAGATTTTGTCATTGATATAAAGATCATATGAGCAACAACTTTTACTAAACGGATATTTTGCTACTTAATCTATTTTACATAGATGTTAATGCGTGTAAAATATCGTTTTAAGTAAGATGTTGCTCTTAAATATTGACCAAAACCCCCTGCCTGAAATTACCTTTTGCGGTCAAATACGTAAATTTAGACATTTTTATGACATCGAATTGACACCACAAGTCCTCTTTTTTCAATGGCGCTTTTGATGACGATAGAAATTGTATACGAAATAAATAAAATTATATCGTATGGAAGGCGATTATAAATAAAAAAATAAAAATAAAAATATAGATCAGTTTAAAAGCATCCGTATTCGAAAATAAAGAATATTTTTTAGAATAGTGTATTGGAAACCGACTGTATCTAATACTATACCAAATAGAATTAAAAAAAAAAGAAAGAGAAGCAATTATGGCTGTGTCTGCTCTCCTGATAAAGGTGACGTCATGTGGAAGTTTTCAAAATTATAGTTCCCAATTATAGTCACATTATAACAGATACAACTGAGTACTATAAACCTGTATTCTAAATATCAAATAAGTATAATATCATGTTTATGTAATAGAAAAACAAAGGATATGGGGTATTCATCCATGAAACAAAATCAGTATATGCATAGCAAAAAAACACACAAAAAGCAAAGAAACAGCGCTTTTGTTGCTGTTCTTCATCTCAAAGTCACAGTGAGGCCTTCAACACGGAGAAAAAAAAACTCTCACCTCACTGCAAGTTACTCACTGTGCCTATATTCAAATATTTTTCCCTGAAATGTAAAACTAATGGAATAGTCTTACATTTTTTGATCATATAATTAATAGAAAGACAGCCAAGATCTTTATATGACTTTCATACATAAATCATTATGGATTTGAAGATGTATTTGGCTTTAGGTCAAGATGTTCTTTTCAAAGTAAAGGATAATCTTATTTCCAATTTTTATATTTCAACGACATGCAAAAGATCCATTCAATGTCGTTTAAATATTAAGTCACATTCCAAATTTATCAATGTAAGGCGATTCATTGCGTAAATCAGTAGACAAAGCAAGGTTTTGTTGCCGTAGAAAATCTTTCTATTTTAGATATGAAACATATGAGAGATGTAATCAGTGCTATAAAGGTGGTGAAATATTATCTAAAGTTACAATTACAGGCAGAACTGCTATACTGAAGCAGGATTAAGGGCAAAACGATAACTTACTATGTAAAACCCTAACTATTTATTACTTAAAGTGTAAACAAATTAATTTGGAGCAGGAACTACTAACCCATCCGGAGCACCTGATTTCATCCCCATTTTTGTTGGGTTTGTATTGCGAAGTCTTTAGTTTTCTATGTAGTATTTTGAGAATTGTTCGTCTCTTCATCACTTTTCGTTTTTAGCCATGACATTGTCAGTTTTTTTTTCGAATTATCAAGAATGTCGCCTTCGTATCTTCCGCCTCTTTTTTCAGTGATACAAATTAATAAACCTGTGAGCTACTGTTCCCTCATGATACCTCCGCTTTAAGAATCCGATTAACATGAAGTTGATGAGCGGTGCATTTGAAAACATATCACACGGTAAAGCATGTTCACATGAAGATTCACAACAAATTGGGGGAAGTTCTTATTAGTAGTTTCCTATAGAAATGCGACTAGGCCATCATGTGATAGATTTTGTGTCAGAAATTGGTAACCAGGAAGTTGATATCGATGAATCTGAAATCGCATCACATGATATAACATGTTCACATGAAACTGTTACAAATTTCAGGACTTTATAGTCTTTAGATCATATGAAAAACTTGACGGCATTTCATGTGATGGACATACGAACGGACGGAGTGACAGACAGAGGAGGTAAAACGAATTAAATATTTTGTATATTATTGGGTTCTCTTCAAATGATTTTTGTACATCTACCACTAGACTATGAGCCAGCAAATCAATACAATTAATATATAAACAAGAATATATTCAGATGGTCATAGTCTCTACCTGTGCTTAGCTTTTTCGAATTAATAAGTTTCTGAGATGCATATTTATTTAAAAGCCGAAGTGATCCAAATCAGTATCTTCATACACATTAATTCAAAAATGATTTTCTTTCCGTATGCACATTCTTGATCTACTTTTAACATATTGTATGTCAAAAACAAGATAAATGACATCAGGAATGCTTTTGACCATAGGTTTGGAATGTCCAAAATATAAAAGATTTGAGAATATAAATATCAAATGAGTATAAAAAGAACAACTTAATCCGTCAAAATTGATGTTGTCATCTAAGTTTAAGCAAAAATTACATAATCATTATTTTACCCATTCCTTTGCTGAAATAAAAAACACTGGCAGTGGCTACTGGGCTGTAAGAACTCTATGATACTGATAGTCAACAATCAGCAGTATAGTATGACAAATGATGTGATTTCCGTGTACAAATCAAGATTCTAGAATAACCGCGTTCAGTTATTCTTGTTAATGAAAGATTAGAAAGACAAAATCATAAAACGTTTTAGAGCAGGAAATTCAAATGGGCCAAGATAAAAGAGTCAAAACTGTGTAAGGTCAATTTTGCCTGAGGGAATTACAACCTTACTTTAAGCACAATTGCACATTTCTATGTACATTTACAAACAAAAATTATGCCTTCACAAAGCATTAGCTACATATTCAATGGTATCATATTTCATTGGAATATTTTGTTTTGCGTTTTATTGAACTTTTGATAATTCCCCCTAGTGACCTATCAGACAATAATATCAAGTTGTGTAATGACCTTAAAGTATATAAAATTATGCTTTATTGAATTATTCGAGGCACTAAGGTTCATCCCTCCCCAAGGTATAGATTACCTTAGCCTTATTAGAAACAACTTTTTGGAAATTTCGGTTTTAATGCTGCTCTTCAACATCGTATCAAATTTGGCCTTTTTTTTATTCGGGCGTCACTGCGGATTCTTATGTAGACGAAAAGTGTTTGGCGTAACAAATTATTATCTATGGTATCTTTGATGAGATTTTTATTGAATGAAAACCAACATATGTATAATGGGCAGACAATTTTGACAAAGTAGATATCTGTAGAATAGTCTAGTCCACTAGCAGTGATACCGACCATTAGTAGTAAAAACAAACAAAATGATTTACAAGTGGAATAACTTTCATCTGGAATCCTTAATTGTCGTCAGAAAAATAAAACTTTTAAAAACATAAAAATCAAATGTATAGTAACCAAAAATATCAAGTATTTACGTTTCGTTTTCAGGGAGAAAAACATTGGAAAGCAAAAATCAAAAATGTATTCTAAATAACGCAGCATAACAAAAAAATACATGTTAGGTAAACACCATTTAGACAGTTTAACATTATTGAACTCTGCAACCAATATTCAAATCCGGAGTTCATCATAATTATGGTTTTCAGCCGTTAGCAGGAAAGCCCTAAATCGCCGAGATTTAGATAAACCATGATGTTTCCAGTGAAACAAAAACCTTTTGATACAATTATCCACTTATTTCAGAGGCATAACTTTCTTCCTTATCTCTTTCAGTTCTAAAAAAAAAAGACGAGACGAGTATTGTAATGGCGAGTCAAATACTGGATGTGTTCAATTCTTTTGAGTCCGAAGAGCAGTTAGAACATTCATCAAAAGATGAAAAGAAGGTGGCTGTAGATCCTTTAAAAACCGAACCGAACTACAAAATGCTTAAAATCAAAGAAAGTGGTAGTCAGAGAGATAATAGAATTGAATCAAAGAACCCAAAGGAAGAAATTAGTGACAGAAAAGGTACGCCAATAAGTGTTGGTTGAGTTGTAGAAGTTGCATCCTACAAATCCTTACAACTTTTCATAAAGGGCCAACGCCTAGCCTGCTGTGAGACTAAGTTTCAGACTTTCCTAAATCCACCCTTGATGTCAAGCGTCAGGTCAAACTAGCAATTAATAAATAATGGTGTAACTCAATACATTTTTGGCGTAAAATGTATGTTGTATCTACTACTTAGCACCAAACTAACAATAACTCAAACAACAAACAGTTTGCTTGATTTACTATCCCTTACATTACAGAATCTCTAAACTACATATCTACATTAAAGCCAAAATTGACAGAGATCAAATGCTTATGTTTAAGATTATTATTTTTATACATTCTATTCATTATTTTGTTTTAGTCGTATGTCTTTTTTTGAATCTATCGGCAATGAAACTTGTAGACAAATGCCAACGATATTGATTAAAGCAGTATTACCTTCAATGCCAATATTTATTCTACAGAACGTTAATATGAAATAGGAGGTGAAGTGATGGCTCGCTTTGAAGATGTAATAAACTTGTTCTTTTATTTTCCACTTGGCTTTTTAAGTCGACGTCATCTCTTATTTCTTTGTTTGTGGTAAGACATCGCCTATCAGTAACATCTGACAACATGATTTAAACGTCGAAACATATTCATTTACCGCTAGCATAATCGAGGATCCAAGTTATAACAGAAATTTTAGAACTAAGTTCAATGAATATTTTTATATTCGTAAATTGTTCTTGTCTACGAATAAAAGAAATACGAGGTAAACGTCGATAAGACAACTTACAGAACTTTCCAACCAAAATTGAGAGGCCATAACATGATCCGGGTCGATTTGTTCACAATTTAAGCTGTTAAACACCGAGATAAAGTTAAACTAATATGCTTTGATATTATATTTTGTTTGTTTGCAACTATTCAATTCTATATTTTCAAGGCACTATTTTACTTCCTTTTCTCTTCCAGATCAAGACACCATGGAAGCGGGTAACGTGATCGATAGTCAATTACAGAATGTGTCTTTATCTATTGAGTCCGACAAGCAGTTGAAACTTACAGCAAAAGAAGAAGAAAATGTTGTTGCAAAATCTTTCATAGACGAACTGAACTACAATATGGCAAAACCCAAAGAAAGCGACAGTCAGAAAGAAGGCAAAAACGAATTTGCGGACACAAAAGAAGCAACTGGCGACAGGAAAATATATCCTAGCGGTATTTTTAATTAATCTGTTACTCCAAATGGCTGTCTTTCTTTCAGTGAACGCTACGCTCAAAACTACTTCTCAGCCTTTCAATAAACTATTATGAAGTAAATATCATGTATATTCAATAACATAAACGGTATCAATTTTAATGCACCAGATGCGCATTTCGACAATAAATGTCTCTTCAGTGATGCTCGAGGCCAAAATATTTGAATATCACCAAGAATATCCTTACATGTAACTTATTAACCGTTAAAATGTTGTCCTTGCACATATTGCCTTCATAAACGATGCTTCAGCAATTACCTGTAAGTCGAAATAACGCAATCAACAATCTGAGCAAATGTATTATCTCCCGTTTAGTTTACCCTGGTCTAAATCCATAACTAATACATTTGTACGAATCCGAATACTTTTTTAATCAATCATGCATATTTCTTCATTTTTATATGAAAGAAGCCAAATTGATCTGTTTTCTGTATCTTGAGTTTTAAAATTATTTCATTAATATAAGCAGAATCTAACATAACTAATATGTATTCATTACAACTATATAATTATATTTTTTTAAAGGTATAATTATACCCTTTTTTTTGTTTCGGTTATAGAAAACAATGAAGATGGTAATATGATGGCGAGTCCATTACAGAATATGTTCAAACTTGTGTCCGAGGAGCAATTAAAAAATACGACAAAAGAGGAAAAAACGGTTGTTGCAGGATTTTTGATAGCCGAACTGAATTACAACATGATAAAACTTAAAAAGAGCGACAGCCAGAAAGAGAAAAAAATTGAATTGGAGAAAACAAATGAGGTTTCTGGTGACAGTTCTGATGGTGGTATGTCGGTGAAAAGATACTTGGAAGTTAACTTTCCTAACAATAAAGAAACTGATACACATGTCCTGGAAAATCATGAGAACACGAACAACAAAGAGCCTTTTGGCGGTAATGGAAAAGGAGGTAAAAAGGAACCAAATGTAGACTATACATGGTTAATGAGTTCATCAGTGAATGATATAACAATTCCACAGCTAGAAAATAAGGCATTACAAAAGGTTATCGGTCAAGTAAAACAAGAGGATTGTAACAAAATATTAGCTCTTTTCAGAAACTCGGTTCAAGACAAGGACATTCAACAACCGAATGAACTGCCATCACTACTGATGGATAGCGCATTTCAAGTTCTTGAAAAAAAGAGATCTGAAGATGTATTATTAGTTGACTTGTTACCAACTATAATTGGAAACAGCAATGACGGTGAGGATGACCAACCAAGTACTTCGGTTGTTCAACCTAAGAAAAATGATAAAGATTGATTGTCTTTTTGACAAGGATAAAAAAAACTATCTATTTCACATGATATAATGTATATAGAAACGCTTATTTTTATTGACAAAGAGCAAATAAGACTGAAATACTAGTACTAGATGTTTAATGTATTAATACGAGATTGGAAGTTATAAAATCTCTGTATACTTTCAACTAAGCTGACATAGAATTTGTAAAAAATTTCTATTATACGGACGGCGTGATTGAATTCTGAAACGCTAGATTCAATTTTTGATGTTAGAATACATGTGAAGTGAATTAACTTTTCTGTCTTACAAAATAGTTACCCGTGTGTTTAGTCAATCATTTATAAAATGTTACTTTTTGAATATTTCTGCGTAAAATTAACACTCAACGCTATGGCCAATGGCATTGGTATTGGATAACTTGAGAACAAGATTGTGCTATTTATCAAGGTAGTCACAGTACTAGACACAATCATTTGAATAGCGAAATTCCTTCGCAGTGAACGCAGTTATTGTTATTTATTCTGTAATTTTGTAAATGTGGAATACTTATCATCATGTTTGTTGATGTAATATACATATATTTAAAAAAAAACATTATCTGATAAATTATGTATAAATCACATAGAAAACTAAAAACTGAACAACAAAAACCGGGGATATACTCATGTGATCTGGAAGGGTATTCACTTCCTGTATCACTGGTGTCACTCGGTCATCAAATTATTAGAAATATGTGTTTATGAATTGTTTTATATTATCGATACAAATAAACGCTTCTTGTTATTTGCTTTGTTTTAACGATACCATTTTCATCTGTAATGACTCTTTGGGAAATACATGTGATTCCGATTACGGTGCACTTGACTGTAATTCTGTGCTTCTGTGTATAAAAAATATACATAAAACGTTTGTATGAGCATCAACACATAACGGGCAAATATATCATTCAGGTCTTCTAAGGTAAACTTTGTCCGAGGGTGTTTTAGTACAATTACAGATTGATTTTCTTCTCTTCCTATATAAAAACTCATCAAGGATAGCAGGCTTATAATTTGGTACGCCAGACGCACGTTTCTTATTTATAACTCATAAGAGGCGCTTGAATCTAAAGGTTCGAAAACCAAATCAATCATGAATTAAAACGTTGAAGAGCATTGAAAACCACAAATCCCTACATGATGGACCAAATCTGGCTAGGTATCAATGATAGTTCATGTCGGGCTAATAAAATGTCCACTGGCATAGACAGTGCATAGTTGTAAAAACTCAGAAAAAAAATACCAGGATTACTTCAAAAAACAAACTTTTGCGAGCGATTTATTTTACTGACTTTTGCAAGTAATAAATAACCCGAATATGTCAAACTTGAATCTTTTCTTAAACTAATGCAAGGAAACTATCGAGAAAATTAATCGTTGCGTAGTCGGCTCTCAGTGGCTGAATGCGAAATAAAATATCGTGAACATGGGTTGGCTTACAATATAATCTAACACGTCATCTAACACGTCAGAAGCGCGTTTCGTTTACATAAGAATCACCAGTGGTGTTCGAATCAAAAGATTGAAAAACCAAATTAATTCTAACACAACCTCAAAAAAGATTCCGATGTCCCTAAATGGAAATATAGCGCAGTGGTATGGATCATTGAGTAAAAATGTATTCTGTAAATTCTATATTTCTCTATCTGCAAATTATATTGTAACCCTTATTTCGTGTCATATATTTATTTTGTTTTAGCTCTTATATCAAATCTTGTATCATTTTCGTCTATAAATACATTCATCTCCGTATCCATTGTTAATCAGACGAAACATTAAAATGATTAAATGTAACAGTGCAGCGTTTTGTCTTCCTGTCGGAACAGTTTGCGTTAATGACTTTGTATAGCACTCAAACGCTTTTTTATAGTCGCCAATATGGAAATAACAACAGCCTAATATGTTCAAATGCCTGTAACCATGGAAACTTCCTTCGCATTTATTCACTGTAGATTCTAAAGCATACATGTAAGCCTCTTGTTCACACTCGGTGCTTATCACGGCGAGATATAACATATACACTAATGGGTGAATCATGAAAGCTCTCCCTACGATACATTCGAGTTTCAGAGCATGGGGAACAAACGATAAGTCTGCTCTAGAAAATATTACATCTTGAGCTGTAGAAAGATATTTCTTTTTGTGATCAAAAGGATTTGGAAGTCCTTTCAGCTGAGTTGCAGTACCATTACCAATGTGTATTGACTTATATTTTGAACAATGACCAGTGTACAGTAGGTTTTGGGACGGCGAATCAAGGATACTCCGAATAATAGAAATCACTTTTTGAGAATTTTGAAGTCTTAGATAGTATGTAGCTACATACAATTTACCAGATATTGCATCAATATTTTGGTTATCATCCAGAAACTTCTGTAACTTCTCTAGTTTTTGCTGTTTTACAGTATTATCCTTAACATCTATGATCGTCTCCAAAAGTGTTAATGCAATTCGAATATTAATAAACATGCGAACAGCTTCAATGAAGCTATCTTCGATGTCCGTGGACGGTTTGTGATCTTCAAAGCCTACAAAATATTCAGAAAGTAACTTAAAGTCAGCAAGAACAGTTTCTATATTTACTCCCAAAAAGCTTTGACCCTTATGAAAATATTTCAATGGCAATCTGAATGTTTCAAATTCTGTTGTGATTTTAAAATCCAGTCTTTCTCTGCATAACTGCAGAAAATTATCAACCCCCATTTCACTCTCTAGCCATGGGGATAACAGGTCAACACCCTCGACACACTGCAAAACATGGACTACAATATCGTCTGAAATAACTTCTATGCATTTGATCATATTTTCTTTTAAAATGTAATTTTCAAATTTATACGCGAACAAATTTTTTCGACGATCAATATAGTGCTCCAGATGAAGGTTTTCTATGCAATGTTTTAGAAATAGAAGACAATTCATGGTGCAACGAAGTAAATATTTTGGTTGCCATAGATATTGAGGATTATTTTCAGACTGCCAAAGTAGTATTGTTTTCATGTGATATGAGCTCACTTCGTCTGGTGCGATAGGGTGTAGACATTTCTTCAAAATATTTTTCATCAAGATAAAGCATTGAAGCTGTGTATCGTTAAAATTCCATACCAACTCCCTTTCTTGTAACAAAAACGACACTCTCCATTCTAATGACGATGTAGGTGACATTTTATCTCCAACAGCGACTACGTGACATTTCAGCTTTGTAATTTTTTCAATAAATTCTGGAGAAGGCCATCCATGTTTTCTTTCTCTGGCAATCCACTCGTCGCCATCAATTGGCCATTCGTACAACGATATTCCAAAGGCGAAATCTTGTTCCACTGATGCACCTAGCTTTTCCTTAATATAGCCGTATATGTCTGTATTAGCCGCAGTGGCACTTGGTCCATGACGGGATGTTTCTGTTGGTGTATCTGCTGTCTTTGTTTTTGTCAGGAAATGCAACCAGAAATCAACCATTTTATCACTGGAAAGAAATGTTTTATCTCCTTCGATTGTTTCCAACATATCATAAATAGTCTTTCCATGATCGTTAAAAATTGTTTTTATGTTTGGATCAAGTTTTACAGGAATCAATCTAGCAAACCCTGGATGGCAAACTGAAGTATCTAAAATAAAAACATGTCCATTGATATTTTTTGATTGGTCTCTTTCCGTACAAGCCGTAATATTTGAAAAAACGATCATTTTGTCGACATCACTGTCTTTCAAGTTAGTTCCTTCGGCCGTACTACCACCGAAAAATCTGCGTATTACTCCTTTATACCGTGTATAAAACAAATACTCTAAGGTAAGTATAGTATTCTTTTGGCCTTTAGACTTACAGCAGGATGCCATTGTAAAGAATGTTGCATTAGAAACAACATCGGATATTCTTTCCAACTCAGTGTCATTGGTCTAAAAATGAAAATATACCGTGTTAGTTCCTTTTTGCTTTAACCAACATCTGTTTGCAAAACTCTAATTGAAATTGTTTCGTGATTGCAAGCATCCGTTTATTTCTACACAATTTCTATATGCCCTATGTGTTATACTAGAATTGTTTATTGTATGGGCTGAATACAGTTATGCGCCTTATGGGAAAAACCCAGGTTACTTTATTTTATACCCCAGTCACCTCTCGAGATCCTGAGACCATAGGATTGTAATTTGGGCAACTGTAGGAGCTTTATTATCGGCAATGCAAATTTGAATGTCTTTTAATCAATTGATCAATTCTAATGATTTGCATGGATTAATACCTCGTTAATGATCCCGCTGTCTATTTCAAATAATGGTCAAGTGATGGCAGTAGCTCTCAGGGACCTTCGATTTACGGTTGGCTAATAAAATTGTTGTGATTTGAAAATGTCCTGGATGTTTAAACGAGACGTGCTTTGTAGATTAGTTTGTCTTTTCGTTGTGGTTTTCTTTTTAGTCATGATGTTGTCGGGTTTTTTGCGTGAACCCCCTGATCACGCCCGTCTATGGGCCATTCGGATATCTCCGGAAACAAGATTCTCGGAACCACTCGAAAATTTTCGATCATTTATACAGGTAGTTATCTATGTCTTTGATACGGTCCCTCTATGGATAGGCTACACGTGACATTGGATATTTCGACAGTCAAAGCTCATTTGTAGATCGCATAGTAAAAAAATAAAGACTAAGTTGCAGTCAAAAATCATTTATATGTTAGAACCTATTTTCCTTTTGAAAAAACATATGTGTTTTTAGTAATGCGAAAATTTATTAAATATCAAGTAAAATGATAACGCAATTATATATATATAATTCATGCTTTGAGACGGTCCCTGTACGCGTTGTATGTGTAGTATTTAATACAGCGTGCTGTTGTGCATTGTTACAATAAATCTGGGAACAGTTTATTAATATATTATGTCCTAGAATAAACTAACCCGAATAAGTCAGTTCCTCCCCGTAATCGATCTATTACTTGTGAATCGTAGATCAGCGGAAGTGTCAGACCACCAATTACTCCCTCCAATGTAGGCCTACTCGGACAAAAAATAGTGCATTTTATGCCATTGTTTACTTAAACTAACCAACAAATTTGCAGAAATGAAACTTTTGGTGAAAGAGAAATATATTAAGACCATTTTGAGCCAAAATTTACTTGTCTATGAGTTGGCATTAAACATTGAGGATTAATGCGCTCCGTAGTATACTGATTTAAGATTTCCAGAAAACCAGGGGTTATTTTTAGTGATACCTCAGTTCGGGAGGTCTCTTCTTTCGTATCAGATTTTAAAGGTATGTTGAAAATTGGCATGTAGAAGGGTGATACATGTACGATTCAGGATATACCTGGTTTCTATGAAGTTAAACTTAAAAGTAAAATATTTAGAAAGCTGTGAAAATTGAAAAATTTGGTTGAACAGATAGGGATTTTTAATTGGTGGTCTGACACCTATAACGACTGAATTATTCGGGTTAAGAATAAACTGATTATTTCTGAACGTTTATCACGTGATATTTTGTATTTTAATCATAGCCTGGGAAAATGTCGGAAAGCATGAAGAAAATTAACAAAACGATATTTCTGTTATAAATATTTATCTTAGGTCGAAAACACAGTGGTCGGAAAGCAGAAAAATAATTAAACAACAGATTTTTCTGTTAAAAATATTTAATTTCATTAATAGATACTACCAGATCAAGAGAATATTCATTAAAATTATTAAGTTTAAACTGAGACTAAATTTTTTCCTAAATAGAATCATAGATATATACATAGCCATAGATATATAGATATAAGAAGATGTGGTATGAGTGCCAATATATGGCTATTATGTCTATGATAGAATATAATTTAAAATGCTGTATATACGTGTATTATGTCTCACAGGTTTGAACAGTGAATACATTCATGAAAATCATGTGCAACATATCTGCACCAATAAGCAGGGATGCGTACACATAAGTAAGTATCTATATTGTAAACGGTAGTGAATGAAAAAATACTTTCATGGTTTCAATTCATAAGAATTTTAAATCCTTGCATCTCACAAAAAGCGTAATTAATATTTTACAATAATCACGAAATAATTTAATTACTATGTTAATTATTTACTAGTAATACTGTTTTAGTACGGATTTATAAGTCTCTACTTATATTTTGTATAGCAATATATTCATATAGTGGAAAGTTAGACTTTTAGAAGAGATTGATTTGATAAATAAAATGTCAGTAAATACTTGACGTTTTTGTTTATTGATATTATATTCTAAATTTTCGGAAAAGATGATTCATTAACAGGAATGTATGTTAATTATCAAATATCGATTCTTTTTTTTTTAATAGTTCAACCTTATAGCATCTAAATCTTTGCAATATGGTACGATTTTGAAAATTGTATTCATTGCGGTGACCAGCTATCCTACACGTCTTGCTTCATTTTGACATCCGAATTCAACTATTAAACATTAGATTTGAACCTAAATTGAAATATGCGATGACGCAAATGCGTATTCTTATTCATAGTATCAGTCCGTATGCTTTCTAATTACTATTTCTTGCGCCAAAAAAACCACGCGCATGCATAAATATTAATTTCACTCCCGAATGTGAATTTTCGCTCTTTTTCGAGCCTGCGACTTCTGTCGCAGAAAGCTCGACATAGGGATAGTGATCCGGCGGCGGCGACAGCCACGGCGGCGTTAACTAACAACTTAAAATCCTTATATTTTAGAAGGTGGAAGACCTGGATGTTTCATTCTTTGTATATAGATGTCATATGTTTATTGTCCTTGACCTCATTTTCATGGTTCAGTGACTACTTGAAAAAAAGTTAAGATTGTTTGTAATGTTAATTTCTCTCTTATTATGAGTAATAGGATAACTATATTTAGTATGCGCGTACCTTGCAAGGTCCTCGTGCCTGTCAGACAGTTTTCATTTGACCTCGACATCATTTCATGGATCAGTGAACAAGGTTAAGTTTTCGGGGTCAAGTTCATATCTCAGATACTATAGGCAATATGGCTACTGGTTTTTGGAATGATTGTAAGGTGTACATGTCCAACTGGCAGGTGCCATCTGACCTTGACCTCATTTTCACGTTTCATTGCTCAGTGTTAAGTTTTTGTGTTTTGAACTTTTTTTCTAATACTATATGCAATAGGTCAACTATATTTGGTGTATGGAATGATTGTAAGGTGTATATGTCTTTCTGGCAAGTATCATCTGACCTTGACCTAATTTGTATGGTTCATTGGTCAATGTTAAGTTTTCATGGTTAAGTTCGTTTCTTAGATACTATAAGCAATATGTCAACTATATTTAATGCATAGATTGATTGTAAGGTGTACATGTCTGTCTGGCATGGTTCCTGATCTCTTTTCATGATTCATAGGTCAATGTTAAGTTTTCCTATCCAAGTTAAGTTCGTTTCTAAGAAACTATAAGCAATGGGTCAACTATATTTGGTGTATGGAATGATCGTAAGGTGTACGTGTATATATTTCGGGTTTGGTTTATCTGAACTTGACCTTTTTTTCTTGGATCATGTTAAGTTTATGTGATACTTGTAGTCAAGCTTTTTATTTAGGACTATCAACATAAAATCAATGGTCATTAAAGCAGGCGAGACATTTCAGTGTGTGTACTCTTTTCTTATATAAATTTAGACACGGCAATAAGAGCTTGACATGTGACTATCAAGCATGGTGATTATTACTTAATGTATTCTTACCTCTAGCTGTTTCTCTTTTCTTTTTTTAGTGAATGTCCCATAATAAACTTTGACATTTTCGAAATGCTAAGGATTTCTACCCCAGGAATAGATTACCTTAGATGCATTCGGCAAAACCTTTGTTTCGAAATTTTGGGTCCTCAATTCCTTTCAACTTCGTACTTTATTTGGCCTTTTTAACTTTTTTTTATTCGAGCAATACTGATGAGTCTTTTGTAGACTGAACTCGAGTCTGGAGTACAGAATTCGATCCTGATATCTTTTTATACCTACATATCTTTTATATAAATTGGTTCTTTTTAGAGTATGTTCAGGTATTCATAAAACTTCTGAAAATAAGATATTCTTAAAAACCAAGTTTTCCTGTAGAATATTTGTGTTGATTTAAGTAACTTCAGGAAATCCTTAAAATTTTAGATGTTTATGAGACCAAAGTTATTGTCTGTATATAAGAGGTCCCAATGAGGTTTGTTACTCTCAAGAAAATATACGAAACCTTCTTATAAGTTGCATGCCACAGGGTTTCACTTCACATGGAAATTGGACTTTAAATTGATCTATACAACATCTACCATGAGTACATACTCCCAAGTAATAAATAAAATAGTCAATCATTAAAATGTAAATTCAAATAGTAGCAGTATATATCCACGTTTCTATTCACAACTATCCAACATTGCTTTCAATTGACTTGTGTAAGAATCTACACACAATTACATATTTTCAATAAAGGTGTTTTAACATCCTCTCGAACATCCTATTTATCTTATTCTATTCAAAGTCAATTATTTCAAAACAAAAGCAAACAAAAATTCAGCAACAACTTTTTGGTGACCAGTCAGCAGTCTCGGGTTCACGTATTGCTTTTCTTTTTTTAAAGAACTGCAACTTGTTTTATCTTGGGATTTTTTTTCTTTTTTGTTTCCTGTATATCTTCCGTCTCTTTTTTACATAAAGACAACAACATAAAATTAAACTGTTGACATGAACGATTATCAACAGGATATTTTTTTCCAACATATGCCATATTGAGTTTAAAAACGGTACAGTAACCTCAAAATACTGATGTCATAGAATACTGTAACGGTTTGTTCATTCCACAGAAAAAGATGGTTGTGAATTTTTAGAAAAGGATATTAAAAAAATCCCAACATGTTATGGTCTTTTTGTCTATGTTGAAATTCGGATCGACACCAAAATCCTATACATTCCATGTGACAATAATTGCTCACGTCGTTTTAAGGTTTTATCATCATTATCTAGAAAGTTTATTATCACACATTTTCTTGTTAGAACATTGAAAAAGATAACTAATTTAAATGTAAGGTGAAGTGTGATATTAGATATTGTAGACAAAAGAAAATGAAAGTAGCTTTATAAAGTTGTTTAACATATTACATACCAACAGTGAGTTTGAGGTTGATTCTGCCATAGACTTATCTATAAGTTAGTTATTTGCCTGTTTCTTTACGTCATTAGTTTCATATGCTCAAACCGAATAAAGGAAGTAATTCTTAGTATGTCACGTGGTTTGATTAAATTTATGATAAAATATTTTCAGATAAAAAACGTAACGTTATTTATTAGTAAACTTATTTTTATTTCAAGTAATATTTTTTGCAAACCGTTTTCATTTTTTATAATAGCATTACATGTATGTCAAAAATATGCACAAGTCTGTTTTCTATCATATTATTATATTCAGTAAGGACATAGATGTATATACATCTATGGTAAGGACTTCCTTAAATATTTCAAGACCTTTATAATTTGAATTCAGGACATCCATAAATGATTCAGGACCTCCATAAACGTATTTCAGGATATTCTGAAATATTCCAGGAACTCCATAAATTTATTTCAGGATATTCTGAAATATTCCAGGACCTCCAAAATTCGATTTCAGGATGTCCTGAAATAGTTGAACACCTCTATCTTGGACTATTATACTAATAGTATAATAGTCCCAGACTCTATCCATAGTTCGATTTCAAGATAAAATTATCTTGAATTATTACATTGGTAGCATTGAATTACATTGATTTCCCAGTCAAATAAAAACCGATTATTTCACATGTGAAATAAACGTGGTTATTTCACTCTCTGACGTCATACAACAATAGGCGTTGTCAAGACGTCGATAACGTCGGATCAAAACTAATTGTGAATGCGTAGAAAAAAAATATAGTTCCTTACATTTTCTTCATTAATTTCATTAAAAAAAGCCATTTGCCAATGTAATAAAAAGAATAACTAATCAAAGAATTCAAATATCGAAAAATATTCAACTCGTGACCGAACAACACTGATAATTAACTCATGCGCTACGCGCATTCGTGAATTAATGTGTTGTTCGGTCACTCGTTGAATATTTTTCTCTATTTGAATTCTTCGATTAGTTATTCTATAAATATTTCAGGATATTCTGAAATATTCCAGGAACTCCATAAATTTATTTCAGGATATTCTGAAATATTCCAGGACCTCCATAATTCGATTTCAGGATGTCCTGAAATAGTTGAACACCTCTATCTTGGACTATTATACTAATAGTATAATAGTCCCAGACTCTATCCATAGTTCAATTTCAAGATAAAATTATCTTGAATTATTACATTGGTAGCATTGAATTACATTGATTTCCCAGTCAAATAAAAACCGATAATTTCACATGTGAAATAAACGTGGTTATTTCACTCTCTGGCGTCATACAACAATAGGCGTTGTCAAGACGTCGATAACGTCGGATCAAAACAAATTGTGAATGCGTAGAAAAAAAATATAGTTCCTTACATTTTCTACATTAATTTCATTAAAAAAAGCCATTTGCCAATGTAATAAAAAGAATAACTAATCAAAGAATTCAAATATCGAAAAATATTCAACTCGTGACCGAACATCACTGATAATTAACTCATGCGCTACGCGCATTCGTGAATTAATGTGTTGTTCGGTCACTCGTTGAATATTTTTCTCTATTTGAATTCTTCGATTAGTTATTCTATAAATATTTCAGGACCTACATAAACATTTATAGAATAACTAATCGAAGAATTCAAATATAGAAAAATATTTAACGAGTGACCGAACAACACATTAATTCACGAATGCGCGTAGCGCAGGAGTTAATTATCAGTGTTGTTCGGTCACGAGTTGAATATTTTTCGATATTTGAACTCTTTGATTTGTTATTCTTTTTATTACATTGACAGAGGGCATTTAAATGGAAATAAAGTAGAAAATGTAAGGGACTATAGCTTTTTCTACGCATTCATAATTTGCTTTGGTGCGACGTCATCGACAACGTCTTGACAACACCTATTGTTGAATGACGTCAGAGGAGTGAAATAACCGTGTTTATTTCACATGTGAAATTATTGGTTTTTATTTCACTGGGAAATCACGGTAATTCATCGCAACCAATGTAATAATAACAAATAATCTGTCAAATCTTTATTTCAGTAGGTCCTTAAATATTTCAGGATGTCCTTGATATGAGGGTCTGGTTGGGGTTTACAAAATTGTGAATAATGGGTAATTAAAAAGTGCAAAATAAAGGGCAAAAAATAAAGAATAGAGAAAATATGGGCAAAATAAATAAAGAATAGAGAAATGGTCTCAATAATTAAAGAATACAGAAATGAAACTAGAAGGGCCCCATGCAGACCCTCTAATATTGATGAAGCTCCATAACTGTATAATTTCGTTCATTTGACAATTCAATTTCAGGCACAGGCACTTGTGAGGGGTGGAAGGGGGGGGTACCTTTCTCCTTTCTCCCGCCCCTCGTCTCCTTTCTCCCGCCCCTCTCTCCTTTCTCCCATCCCTCTCTCCTTTCTCCCGCCCCTCTGCTTCCATCTCCCACCTTAACAACCGTCTTTTTTCAGATCAATCGATTTTAATACAAATTTGAAGTAATATATGACCATATATAGGTGGCATAGGTCTTTATTAAAGCATATACTGATTTTACGAACAAGGCCTGCCTCCGACTTGTACGCAAATTAATACACGATGTTGGAATGTTGTCAATGGTGCATTGTGCATGCCCCAATGTCAAGAAACTCATTTTTGATATGTATGGTCATGTATGAGGATCATGAAATTAGACATAGTTTTTTATTGTGTCATCTCTATTTTTCCCTGTCCTCGAGAACACCTTACTTTGTATGGTCAAGTGGATAACGTAAATATTTTAAGGTGACCAGGAAAACGTGTTAAGTACATGTAATATTGTTTAGAGGAGGGAGTGTATCTCTCTGACATTGTCAGCATCCCTTCTTTTTAAATTTGTAGAAGATCGCCAAGTACTTAGAGGAAACAGATACCCACATGTGAAGGCATAAGACAAGAAAACTAATGAACCTGTGTACATATATCTGGCCTTAAATATTTGTCTAAGTTTTGCTATAAAATATATATGTACAGAATTAATAGAAATCCATCAAGTGTCTTGGTTTTTTAACAGTTCTCCCACGTCTCGTCCTTTCACAGCTCAGTACAGTCAGTACAATTTCCTCTTCCTCAAACGTCTCGCTAACTTTTTCATTGATCGTCATTGTATCAGTCTGAAGAGAGCTGGTCAGCCTATTGTAAATCTCCTCATCTAATGTATATACAACCTGACCAGGTAACAAAGGGGGTATTACACTTTCTAATATACAATTAAGTGGTATATCTCTTTGCATGTCTTTATGAAATTCAAGGCCATCATTCTCTTTATACAGAATCGCTTTGCACACTTTGTCAGTTTCAAAAACACGTTCAGTGAGACTTCCGAGAGACAACTGGTCATCCAACATGACCGCCACCAAATCATTTTCATCATAAATAGAGTCTAACACTGGTCCAGCGGGTTCATTTGAACTTTGCAATTGATCAATTGTGCGTGGTTCTGTAAGTGACGGGTCTTCGGTTGTTTCGTTGATTCTAATGTCGGTAACAGACAGATCTATCGATGCATATTTAGGTGGGATATTGTTTTGGTACATGTTGAGAGGCAGCGTACCTGCATTAAACTTCGTTGTATCGGCTCTTACGCTTCGCTGTCGTACTCCTTTTCCATATCTCTCCCTAAATTCAAACAATAGTTTCACGCCTTCTTTAGAGACACTGGACGGCTTGTCACGTTGAAACTTTGGAAACTGTTCAAGGGATAGATACTGTTTTGGACTCTCATACCCTGACGTTTTCTTTGATGTGAAAAAATTATATCCACAAAGCGATACTCTCTTAACACACTCAACGACACCTCTGAGAAAATACCTTGCACAGTCAAGAACTGATGGTGTTTCTGCTTTTAACCGCAACATACTCTGCAATTGTTCATTAACTAACGTAAGAGCTGAATTAATATCAACTTTCTCCAAGTATTTTGATTCTATACCAGTAATTTGCTCGGAAAGAGACTCTAGCATTGTTCGAAGCATATGAACTGACTGTATTGTTTTAGAGGCTGGTACGCCATGAGGTCCTTGCAAGCAGTTAATTTTCAAATGTAAAAGTGTCTTGGCTTCAGATGTGCAGTTTTCAAAGAAACTTTCAACGTCTTTCAACTTAGAAATTGACATCCTGATATCATCGCTATGACCACTTCCCAATATTTCGGTATGCACAGAAAATGACTTGTAAATATCATGGAGTACAGACAGATATTTGTGCATTGGTGACAAAGACGTTACAAGTCTGATATTTTTCGATCCAGAGTCTATAACAAACAGAGTGTTGCCTTCAGTACATATTCCTGATGGTTGCGAAAATTGGCAATCTTTACCAAGACCATCCTCATTTCCTTCCTCTCCTTTTCCAGCGAACAAAACAACATCAGGTTGGTTAAGTGATACATTTTCAATGTCTTTGATCTTGTATAATGCTCTTTTCCCAACGTCAGGGTATATTAATTCAGTTCCAACTATGGCAATTCCATGTGGTTGGTTGCAGATTTCGGTACCAGTTTTCAGAATCACAGAGACTGTGTTTAAATCCAATTCTAGGCGCAGAATACCAGCTGTATGATCGGCTAAGTACAGATAGTTTGAACAGTAGGCTAATCCAAAACATCCACTCATATCTGGTACACTAATCGAGTATAAACTTGTTCCAAAAAGGTCATAGCCATAGGCAGCAACTTTTCGTTTCACAGAAACCTGCAAGATTGACTTTGTTTTCCGATCTGCTACAAAGAACAAATCTTTGTCAACTTTAACTAGTTTAGTAGGTACAACATCGTCAATGTCAATGTCAAGAACCCTGACTGTGTCTTTTGTGCCTCTTGGAACACCTGCCGCCTCTATTCTCCTGTTGATAATTTGTCTGAGGGTTTTCAGATTACAAAAATGTTTTTTTACCTCTTTATTTTTTTTTTCAACATTAAAGTTCGTCTCCCTTTGATAGTTCTCCCTCCTTTCTCCCGCCCTTTCTCTCCTTTCTCCCTGTCTCCCAATACCCTTTCCATCTACTCACTTGTCTCAGAAAAAAAAT